AGTTTCCGGCACTTTTTCGATAATTCGAAGAAGCATCTGAATCCGGGGTCGAAGAGAGTTTCTAACAGTGGGATCTGAGAAATCGGTGGAGACAGTATCAAAAGTATGAGCAAGTTCCGTGATTATTAACCGAGTGAAATCAAAATCCAGTGCCAGCCGTCGAATGTCTAGGCTATCATAAGGAGGTATCAGAGCGTTCAGGGCTTGTATACTACCAACCACAAAGTCGTTCATTTCAGATATATCATCGATGCACTTCTTGTACATTTCCATTTTATCGTTGTCATCTAGCCCAAGTGTCAGTAGATGTGAAAGCTGCTTGCTAGCAAACTTTTGCAAATTCGTTTTTTGCTCGACGGAAAACTCGCTGATGGACGTGGCGTCACGAATCAGGCGAACACACAGACGATAGGGGACCACATCTACATGCACATGGTCATAAGGCTGCTGGCGCATTCTCTCCGTATGTTTATCCCTCACGGCATTTAAAAGGCAGTCGCTATATTCGAGCATCCGTGCGTCGAAGCGGTTCAAAGGCAATTCTATGAGCTTGGTGCAAAGATAATTCAAAGCATTCGACCCAGATTGATGCATGATAAATGTCCGAGTTAGCATCCCCAGAACCTCCGCCACGGTTCTCGGGTCTTCGCTTTCAGTCACAGTGTTCCAAATAATATCAGTATCGTTATTTGTGTAAGTGGATGTTACAACAAGGAACCCAACAACGTTTCCACTCCGGCTTATCAACTGTGGATGTGAATCCACACCGACGATGTACTCCACGATCTTACTGTCCCTCAGGAATTTCACAAGATACTGGATAATTGGGTAGTTAATGCCAGCGGGGTTTCCTTGGATATGTTGGCGCCAGACACCGACAAGATCAGCCTGCATAGTTTCCATACCAAAGACGCGGAGTTCCATTCGACCTTCTGTGATGTGCCTCTTCAAGACTTGGAACTTCCAACCTAGGTGGATGATGGCGGGATATTCCTCCTGTTTGGCATTCTCGGGAACATCCACGCCAAGATCACGCGTCATTTGCGTTGCCAGCTGACTATTCAACAGGGCAGTGTTATGGTACGTGTAGCCGACGAAACGGAGAACAGACTCGCTGCTGTCATTGGTAACCCAAGAAGATTTCTTCGAAATGGAAGACTGATACTCGGTATCTATGGAGCGAATGAAGGTATATACGGATTTAATGGCATCAACAAGTTCTGCTGATGCGATTAGTTCATCGTCTGCGCGGTACCTCTTCCGCTCCATTCCAGAATCGACAACGTTATGGGCAATGGTCAGTAGACATATGAAGGTGCCTGCGAATTGTGGCCATGGTTGGAGAGCCTTGAGAAGCAAATGCGCGAACTCTGACAGACGTTTTACGAGATTGACTGGAGCGGCAGTAAGTTGGTCGTTGACACGGGCCACAAAGTTAATAACTTCGGGGCCAAAAGTTCGTTCCATCATCTTGTAAAATGGAATTGTGTGGACCTGTAATATCCATCCCAACGCGGGTAAATAAACTTTTGACAGTAGATCTGGCGCAGAATCTGTGTCGTTTGGATAATGTTCTAGTGTTAGAGCATCGATCCGAGTCATATGAATGGCAAGGCGCCCAAATGCCACGGAGAAATCCTCAAAAAATTTCCAAGGGCCTTCTCCTTCGTCGGGTTGGAAATCAATCCTGCCATTTTCATTAGCAGTTGCGTGAAATATTGAAATTGACCTCTAGTGTATTTACTCACTGCCGCCGTAAAAGACTTTCAATAAGCATTGGAACCTCCTCCCATACATCCCGATCTTCAGCAACCGTGTCGTATGTGATACTACTCAGGTTATTCACACAGAGCTCAAGCCAGTTTTTAACCGACATAAAGATTGCGATATCATGAGGGTGACCTGTATATGGAGACATTGGTCATTAGTAAATGTATGGTGCATCGAAAAATAAAAATAAATATAAATATAATATAAATATAAAAAAGCAAATAAATATAGAAACTGGCAGAGGGAGGGAAAAAAGAAAGAATAAAAGAAACAGCAAAGAAAAGAAAATATATTACCTCTCTCGAGAAAACTCGCAGTCTCTTCTACTGCCTGCCGTATGTCACAGTCCTGCCTGAGTCGTGGGAAGGATTCTGCCAGGGAAACCTCGTCATGAATGTGCACAAGTTCAGGTTCTTCTGGAGCTCTGAGAGCATCTTCTAATGACCTCCAGTTGGATGTGCTGGGATCCTGATCCATATCTTCCACCTCAGCAACCTCAATCTCGGGACTGTGCGACGGTGACGAAGCCATAGATGTTTCGGGTTTGTTATGGGATGTAATATCTACAGATATGTGGTGTTGTTCATGTTGCTCTTCTTGTTGTTGGTCGGATAATGCTGGAGCTTCTTCGGCGGTATGAGAGGCAGAATTATCGTGGAGAGTGGGAGATTTCATATTGATCGTTACTCTACTGGAGGAACGTTGTGGGTTGGGGGTTTCTGGTTCTGGCACCGGCGTAGTCGTGGGAGAGACAAGGCTGTTGCCGCTGACAACCTGGTCGTCGCCGCAATGACCGCTGGTTGAGCTTGGGGAGGGGACGGACATGGTCATAGACTCGTTTGAATGATTCCCACTGTCAAGACGAGGACGTTTCCGTGTAGACTGGGGATATGTACCTTCCATGGGATCATCTGGGGAGCCTTGAGGATCAACAGCTACGGCAGCAGGTTGTGGGGTGCTAGAGCTATCTAGCGGGGAAGCTGCCATGACATTTTTCCCGCCAAACTCGAATGAAACGATAGTGACGGTCTGTGAAATAATCGGGTGGGCAAAATAGGTTGAGCAAGAATGAGTCAAGCTCCAGGCAGAGAGTGCGTTAGAGGCTGAGGACCAGGGAGTGGTGGGAGGGGGGAGTTCTAGGCTAGGGAGCAAGCGACGGCGGTCTGCAGCAGCAGCAGCAGCAGCTTCATCTAGCAGAATTAACAAGCGCGAAAACACCTGCCAAAAAATGGCGACCTATGTGATTCGACAAGGAGGGGTAAGATCTGAGGCCAGGGCCTGGCGATTGGGCGTCGGGAGGGCCACAAGGAAGACAGGGAAAGTGAAGGGAAGGTCAAAGGAGAGGCGGATAGAGGATATCTGTCGCCGTGGTTGGCTGGACGGGAAGTAGACGAGTGGTTGGCTGCTGTGCTGAGGGACAGGAGATTATTATCGCCGCGGGTGTATCGGTTAGTTGTTGTTGTTGTTATTGTTGTGGTGGTGGTGATGGTTGGTGGTTGTCGTTGAAAATAATTATTTAGCTGTAGTTTAACTAAATCACAGGAATGACGATGTGCTGCTGCTGGACGCGCTCACTCCACAGAGAGCAGAACTACAAACTACACATTACTTTTCTTATTATTGTAGTAGCAACACACGAATGACTATCAAATTATCCTTTTTTCTAATTTATAATTTAACAATACTTGGCAGCTTTCTTCACTCCAATCAGTCATGAGAAAGGGCTTTTACTCTGGACATTCAGCATATGTATGGAAACTGATATTCCAAACCTAGTTCGCCCTCCGCGCCATGTCATGTCTGCCTGGACGCCAAAATCTGGGCTCAAAGAATGCCCGAATTAATTTTCAACAAAACCATCCACCACGTAGTATTCCATTCCGCCAGTTCGTCCTCATCCCGCGCTTTTTTCCCCTGCCAATCCATCTTCTGCTTCCCCACAGTGGCTCCTCGCGTGGGCAATTCCTCCATTCCGCGGTGGCTGACTACGTTCAGGTCATGTGATGTTGCCTGATTGAGCGGCAACTTTTTGACGATCTCAAATTCAACCTTCAACGCCCGTCCTGCATAGTTATAGTATTCACAACATCATTCGGATTTCAGCTCTTCTGATGAAACAGATACTGTGTTTAAAAGTTTTGCGCTTGGTGCTGCTACGGTACTGTACAGTGTAGTCTGTGGGGGCTAAGCACTTCAGACTCCAGAGCATCAATAATGAGTCATCCCCGCCAAATCTTCAGTAACTAGCTAAGATTGGAGCTACGGCTTGCAGATTGAACCTATGCCTAAGCTATAACTACATGTACTACGGAGTACTACGGAGTTACTACATACAATCAGTTCAGCTGCTAATAATGCTGGAAGCATTGTCGGAGCAAACTTCGTTTCTAGGACCGTTTCAATTACCTTCTCTTATAGCAAGTCAGATAAGATATTCAGGGAATAGCACCTAAAGGGAATGAGTTAAAGAAAAAAGAAAAAGAAAAAGAAAACATGCCCACCGTCCCCGCCCGCTTTTACCACATTTTCATTCATCACTCACCTCTCTTTGTCCCGCCAAACCAGGTTCCTCACACAGGATTTCTCCCGGGAAAAGAAAAGAAAAGAGAGCAGGCTTTGTTCGGCGGGTTCAAAATGGGTTACGACATCGAATAATAACACCAACAACAAAATAAAAAGGGAACTTAGAAAGGGATTAAATGGACTTATATAACCAGGGCCTTTTCTTTTTTCTTTTCTTTGGTAGCATCCATCATTTATTCTGACATTCGGGATATTATTAGCCAAAGCGAGGAAGGAAAACAAAAGGAAATTTGGGAAGCTGGTTGTTAACTCAGGCGCTAGAAGCCTGGATGGAATCATGGAAGGCGAAGCTTTCGGGATCAGCAGAGCCTAACTGGAAAACACCCGGCGCCATATCCATTTGGATTCCAGGGCTCTAGCCGGTTCTTTGCTCATATTTTTATGCTTGTTTAGTTATTCTCATTATTATTTTCAACATCCCGCGTTGGCGTCAGAAATCCGGCAAAGGTGCTCTGTAGAGGAAACAACCCATTTTCTATAAATGAATGTTTTTGCGTGAGCTGAAGTCGGGGCGACTGTAGGAGCTTGTTCCTCTTTATTATTATTATTATTACTATCGGATCGTTCAATGGATGGGTAGTTATTTTGATGAATGATGGATGATGATGATATGAGTTTTGACAACCTGTCCGAGTCCCCCCCCCTTTTTTTTTTTTTTTTTTTCCCCAAGCCTTTACTTTCAGGCCCAGGTTAAATTAGTAGCTGGTGCCACGCGCCCTCACTCCCATGAGTGAGAGTGCACCTGACTGCAAAGATGAACATATATGAAACTTGTCTTTTGTATGAGCCCACTACATGAAAGATACGTATGGAAAACATTAGTATCTTCAACAATTCAACTTAGATAATGACGATATCAGAGTAGAGTATATATATGCACTTAGAGAAAATAAGTTTCAAACTTAATATTATAGAAATATTGGTTTTCTAACTCGAAAAAAATTTGAGGAAAATTTGAGGGTTGATAGATAGATGTCATAAAGTAAAGCCTTTTCGTTTTTACTTAATTACCTTCGATATCCAGTGCTCATGACATCATTTCAAGCAGCTATTAGGAATGCGCCGGGAATTCTTATTGTTCATTCTATGTTCCTCATTCCGTCTTCTCTGTATCAGGCAAATCTAGGTAGCAAATATTCCTCTATGAAAGCGTCATGGTCCATGCTATGTGTGATGGAGTTCCCTATCAAACCCCAAGCGATATCAGCTCTGCGCATCTGGAGGGGAGGTTGCCATTGACGTCTCGATCCGCCGGATTATCCGTGCTGGATTCCCCGCAGCAACATGGAAGGCCGGTACATCCTTAGAAAACAGCAATGTCAGAGACATTGATCCACTTATATATGTAATTCCCAAAACTCGTAACTAACAATCAACGGAAAAAGAAAGAAAAATAGAAACTAAAAAAAAGTAGTCATACACACCTTGGTAACAACACTCCCCGCCCCAATTGTCGCCCCCTTCCCAATGGTAACCCCAGGCAAAATATCAACATTCCCACCAATCCAACAATCCTCGCCTATATGCACCTCCTTGCCCAGTTCGGGTCCCTTGGTCCCATTCCTTAATGCGGGATCTAACGGGTGCGTTCCACTGTATATACTGACATTGGGTCCAAGCAGCGCTCTCGCTCCGATGGTGACGAGGCAGGTGTCGAGAATGACACAGTTGAAGTTTATGAAGACGCCTGCGCCAACTTTTACGTTGAAGCCGTAGTCTACGCGGATTGGGGCTTCGATCCAGGGCTCGTTTTCGAAGAGGGCCTCGTCGGCGGCCGGGTCAGCGGCTGGGGGTGGAAGCGGGGTGTGGTCGTCGATGATGCTAGTGAGAGAAACGAAGGGAGAGAGATAAGAGTTAATTGTTTTGTGATATGGAGATTTGTTACAAGATAAGACTAGAATCGGATTATCATCCTCCTCTCCCCCCCTTCTCCGTCATTCTGGTGCAGGCGGGGTGGAGGGGAAACGCGAGTGTGGACATATGGAGGGGCTGAAACGCGGGGATATCCGGGTATAAATAACTACCACATGATGTACTTATATGTACCCATGTGGATTCACTCACTCTCTCCAAAGCTCAACTTGCCGCCTCCGAGTCACTTCTTCGGAATCATTGAATCTCTTACACGCCCATTTGCACTTTGCACGCGCGGATATAAGCTCCGGCGTGAAGGCGTGATAAAGCTCTCCACGGAGCATTTTCTCTTTTTCCGTTGGCTCTGCCATCGCGTCAACAGCACGAGGATATCTGAGTTATCTGCAGAGAGCGATGGTTGTCAGATCGCAATCAACTAGCTATCCTTCTCGCAGGGGAGATTGATGGTGACAGAGATTGAAGCGCAAAGCGGCTGGATGTCTGTGGTGATAGGTATTCCGGTTTGAGTGGCTAGATAAATAGTTAATTGGCAGCGGATGACAAACCTTGAGTCGACCGTCCGAATAAATACTTGGATGACATTCTCAACTTAAACGACAATCTACCCCAAGATTTATATAAACCTAGCTAAAAACAGCTCCGGGAACCGCAATTGCCGCCAATAATTAAGTATCTATGAATCTCCCCAGGAATTCGCGGTGCAAACCAATCAATATTTACCTACAGGGTTATTTATCCTGCCAAACTCAGAAACTCGTTATTTATTATTGTATAAATATCATCATCATCCCGATAATGAATTTTCAAGGAGTTCCAGCTTCCCGCATGCCTCTGCCGCAGACCGCAGCTCTGGCAAACCTGGACCCACAGCATCTTGCACCTCTTGATGCCCTTGTCCACTCAATCCTTGAGCTAAATAAATGTCACTTGAGGAGTCAGGACTCGTTCTTAACGCAACACAGGAAGAACACCCATATTGCCTGCTGTCTTGAATCGAGACCTCCCATCTGAAAATGCAGTTGTTGTGTTTAGAAAGTTTTGCACGGAGTTCACATCTATTGCTGAGTTGATGATTACCTTAAAGGTGATCTCAGTCCACAGACAACATTGTTTTATTGATAGATACTGGACCCCTTAATATTCAATTAGGCCGTGCAGGCATATCAAAACACAGTACCCTCGTTCAACAACTTCAGCCTCCATCTTCTAGAGATAGCCGCTCATACCACCCACGCCCTCACAGCAGAATTGTACACCGCTGCCCATCCCGAGATCAATGTCTACTCGACAGACCTACGTTCCAGGCCACACCCACACTACATCATTGATCTGTATCATCAACTCTATCGCTGTGCCATGGACTATCCATATGGCCTTTCTGATATAGTTGGCTACTTGGGCTGAGACGCAGGTTTTTGGTGGAGTAGTCTTGTTTGAGCACGAGAAGGACAAGTCTGACAGCGTGCTTCTAGCTGCCTTTGTTCACCCCTCCCAGCAAACGGGAAACTCTGTCTTTCAATTATCTCCATCCCAACTAACTTTCCATCAACCCCTCCCATTTTCCGCTACCCAAAACGTTGACACCCTCACTGTCCACCGCAATGACCTCCAAGATCGCCACATATTCCGTGATGAGTTCTCACGCATCAGTCCTCCTATCATTCTCAACCGACCGCCTTGCATTGTGCCACTGACAGATGAAATGAGGGTAGGAATGAATTAGGCTAGACAGCAGCATGAGGCGCGGGGGAAGCCGTACGAGACAACGTATTACCCGCCTCAGTAGGGATAGAAATTGAAAACTTAGCTTTTATTTATTAGTAAAACAAAACAATGTTAATTATACTTCCCAGAGGATATCTTTATCAGTCTGTTGTTTATTCTGGCCTCATCATTTTCTTGTATTAGCAGACTTTCGAGAAAGGCGATGTTACAGAAATGATAAAAAACACAGTTTTCTTTTTTAATCTAGATTACTGACTGAACAGTTGCGAGATAAATAACAGCTAGATATATATTATTTAAAATTCATATTACCGAGTGAAAATAATAGTTTCATGATATATTAACTCATATTAACTCTTTTTAAATAACTGGATGCTTGCGGAGTAGTATCCAGTTAAAATACGTCATTATTACGTAAGTGCTTCTTGAGGCCGGCGCTAAACCGGTTCAACAATATCAATATAACAAAGCTCAACGAACTTTACCTAGGACACTCGCTGAATGGGCGGCGGCTGTTTCCAGGAGCTGGTCGCACCTTTCCATTAGTTAGATATTTTCTTTGTTTGGGCTATTATCATTTTCGGAAGCTGACGGCTTTGAGCTAGCTGCTCATACATAATGGGGCCGAACAACTCTCCATCCCTGCTGCTGTAAAATTTTCCACTACAACAGCCTTTACCTCCAGGTCTTTGGCAAACTGTTGCACGGATTGTCGCTACAAATTATCTACTCGAAAAGCCTTACCTGTATATGTGCGGGCTCTCCACTGCGGAGAACGCGAAATAGGCGTATATAGCTCAAATTTTCGTCAAATCGTCCTTGCAGCCGTCCAATCATGGCTGATCCGCCCTCAACCGGAGTCGATTGGCGCCCACGTCGTGAATACGTGCCCTATAGCCCAGAGGGAAATAACAACAACTTGAACGGTGCTGCTACTAAACATCCGAGAGAAATCATCGACCCTGCAATTCTGCCAGGGGGGAAGAAGTCTCTAGCTGGGATATCCATCCGCTCGTTTGTTTTGGGCCAGGTTTTCGGTCTCTGCATCGTCCTGACCTTCTTCCTCCTCCTCAAGTCGTCGACCTCTCTATGGCGAGCTCCTTTCTTCCTCACAACCCTCAGCCTCTTTCATTTTCTCGAATACTATATTACGGCACGATATAGTACACCCTATGCGTCGATATCTGCTTTCCTGCTCTCCTCGAACGGTGCAGCTTATAATATTGCGCACACCTCTGCGATGGCAGAGTGTTTACTTACTTGCTTAGTTCTGCCGGAAAGATACGCGAGGATGGTATCTCTAGCATTCGGTGGTGCCCAGGTGCAAATTGGGCTCGGGCTGGTTTTCATTGTCGTCGGCCAACTTGTCCGGTCGTTAGCAATGGCACAGGCTGGGACAAATTTCACTCATACAGTGCAGTCCCGACGGAGAGAAGGGCACACGCTGGTCAAAGACGGCATTTACAGAATCCTCCGGCACCCAAGTTATTTTGGGTTTTTCTGGTGGAGTTTAGGAACTCAAATGGTTCTGGGAAACGGAGTCTGTTTCCTTGCCTATACCATTGTGCTCTGGAAGTTCTTTTCCAGTCGTATTCAGAGTAAGTCGCCTCTCTTCAGATGTTTATTGCAAATTCGTTTACCCTCATGCTGATATCGAAATTTTCCTTTAGGAGAGGAGAAATTTTTGATAAGTTTTTTCGGCAAGGAGTACATTGAGTATCGAGAAATGACGCGGGTTGGAATCCCCTTTATTTCCTGAGGGCAACATGACAGCTACGCCAGTGACTACAACGGTTGCACCTGATTTAACATTTTCAGAGGAACATTGATATCCTAACTCCAAGCATGCTCCATGCGCCCAGTTTACTAATGAATCCTTTTGCTACTATTGCGACTACCTACCCTTTATCGCCTTGCTTCGTAAAATGATCTGTGGAGATTACTACCTGATATTCAAAAATAACAAAAACTGCATGATGATGGCACAATTTAACCACTTTCATAGGCATTTCAGCATTGGCCTTCCCCCTCTCCTACTTATATGTTTGCTTTCACTGATCCTGTTGGGTCACAACAAGTGAATCTAGAGATACCATCTTGCCAGCTCTGAAGACTATATAAAAACCAGAAACCTTCCCCAAGACACATGAAGTCTTCTTACCACTTCCCCCCCCTGAAGGCAATGATATACGCTACTTATACCCGCTGCATTTTCGTGTTTTGGCTTTCATGCTCCGTTTCCAGCAACACCCTAAATTATCAATATTCAATCTCTGTATAGTTTTCTTGAACTTCACCATAATAAATAGCCCGCGCAAGGGAAGAACAACTGTCACTCATTATATGGAAATCAGTGCTTGAAAAATCTCACCCTCCAGCTTCGATATATCGAGATACCCACTCGTTGAAACAAGCAGATGTGCCAAGTCCGCGCGCATCTTCACCAACCTTGCGGCTGCAAATCTCACCAACTGCGCGTCTGCCGCTCATACAAGGTCCAAAACCATGTTCGTACAATCACAGACACCACCAGCAGCGCCAGCAGCATCAGAAATGGCATGCCCATCACGACCGCCATCACCACCACGAAAACCACACCCTCCACTAACAACACGAACACCTGTCGGTGCATCTGCCGCAGTAGCTGCGGCAGCGACATAAACCTCCGCATGATCCCCCGCTTCATCACCATCTGCTCCAAAGCCTTCAACCCGGATATATTCTCCACCTGCCCGTCATACAAGATGCATCCAGATGTTGTCGACCCGCACCCTTGCTCCGACCACTGGACCATGCTATCTGACGTCAGGCTCTTCTTCGGGCCCCCTAGGGGCCTTGGGACTGGCAATGGTGAGGATGACGATGGGGAAGGGGAGGAGATCGTGACGGCTGAAGGAAGTGGAGATGGAGGAGGCCAGGACTGGCCATGGAGTCTATTTGATGTCGGCGATAATGGGGGTTATCCTGATCCGCTGCGGAAGAATCATTTGGATACTTTGCGTGAGAGATATTATTGTCGGGCAGTGAATGCGGTTGGAGGTGGGAATGATGGAGGTGATGGTGGTGATGATGACACGAGTGAGAAACGCGTTGGCGATGGTGTTTCTCATCAGCAGGAGAACAAGGTGGAGGCTGATAGGGGGACATCTTGTAAGCTTCCTGGGACAACAGAGGGTAAGAAGGGGGGATGGACGATTTTGGATATGTTCTTGGATTGGATGGGGAGTTGAGCGAGGGGGATGGATGCGTTAGGGGCGTTGAAAGGTGGTGATGTTTTCTTAAGTTGATCTCGCAACTTCTTCGTATTTTTTCTTTCTCTTTTTTCCTTTCATTCGACTCTTTGCCTGTCTATTCTAAGTGTTCGTTTATCTGCTTATATTTGTTATAATTATTCCATCCCGCTACTTCAAGGTTTACAGAGTAATATCAGTAACGATTCAGATTTGTTTCATTTCTCCTGCTGTAGGGTTTAGAGTAGGAGGTTAAAATCAGTCTCTAACTTGATTGGCAGAATATTAACTCAAATAAATATACAAGTAGAAGTGGTATTTCTTAAAATACACCCATTCCTACATAAACACGTAACCCCACAACCCCCCCCTCCCGAGACATTAACCATCACAATTTACTCTGCGGCTCCGCCACCGTCCCAATCGCCCCACTCATATATGGAATCTCCAAATCCTCCTCAGACCCAAACAGCACCATCTCCCTCCCACCCTTCGTACTCCACCATGTAACACAAAAATTCGCCCGATCAACATCCATCTCCCCACTGCTCAGCGCATCCCAAAACCTCTCCTGACACTGCTGCCTCATCGCCTTGTCGGGGATGATATTGACCAGATGCGCGACGAGCGGCAGCCATTCCTCCAGCGCCTCGAGGCGGAGGAAGCATAGGCAGTCGATCATGGTCATGGCTAGGACGGCTTGT